AAGATAGGATTCGGGGGACAATCTGTCTAAGGAAGTGAGCGGCTCATTTCCCTGCCCCAAACAGAGTTTCCTTTAACACAGAGCTTCTCACCCTCAGCACTACTGAGTTTGGGGGCCAGATAACTCTTTGTTGGGGCTGGTTTCCTGAGCATTGTATGTTTAGCAGCATCCCTGATCTCCTTCCACGAGAAGCTGGCAGCACCCCTTCACTTGTGAGGATCAAAATGTCTCCAGACATTGCCAAATGCCTCCCAAAGGATGGGGAGCATTTAATAGAAGGCTTTAATGTAACATTCATCACAGGTGAACACTCAGTCACGGGTTGGTCATTGGAGAAAGACATCACAGAGAAATTTGGTTTGAAATTGAAAAATAAAAAAGCAGGCAAGCAAGCTGGGCTTTGAAAGAAATGTAGACATGGGCTTGGTGGGAAGGAGTGGGAGGGAATTAGTTCAGGGCCAAGGGATTGATGTGAACAAAGCAGAAAACTGGGTAACATTGCAGGACTGGGAGGTTCAGAAAGAAAGTCATAGAAGAGAAAAATTAAGGAGAACTTTATGAGCAATCGAGGCTTTGAATTTGAGGTTCCAGAGATTAGACTTTATCCTGTAGACATTAGGAGCAATTATGACTGGTGGGGTAGGGGGAGAGGAATGTATAAGACATATTTTCAGGAAGAATCTGTGTCTGTAGGTGGGAGAAGGGAGGGATCAGTACGTAGCATGGAGGAAAGCAACGGGCAAAGTCAGGATTGTGGCGTTGAAAAGAATGAGAGGAAGGGAAGGGGCACTGTGAAAGAATGTTGATAAGACTTAGTGACTGATTAGATATGAGGTAGCAATGAAGTGATATCCAGCTGGATTCCAGGTCTAAGGGATGAGGAGAATGAACATTATCTTTAACAGAAACGGAAAAGGTGATGTGTGAGGTCAGGTGACGCATTCAGTTAGGCATGTGGAGTTCGAGGGAATGGCAGACATCCACATGGAGAAGTCCAGAGGGCAGCTGTAGTCTAGATAGAGTTTGTGGAAATTTTTCTGAGCAGGAAGGAACCTGAAAGTTCATCTCCCTCCACCCTTCTCATTTTACAGATGAAGAAACATGTGGCACGTTAAGTGATGTGCTTATTACCAAGTAGTATTTATGAGGGAGATCCTATTTCATAATCCAAAGGAATTCTAGTTTTACGAAATGAAAATGCCTGGGGAAGAAAGGTGCCCTGTGAGATGAACATGACACTACAGCCTTGAAACCGTAAAAAGGAAAGACTTTGGAGGAAAGCATGGGGGGCGAGAGCCACCCCTACACTGAGGGGCGGGAGGGAGGCGGGAAGAAGGGAGCTGGCAAAGGAAGCCAAGAAGCAGCACTTGAGGAGGCCGTGAGGAGCAAGTTGGTGGAGGTCAGTGAACAGTGCTCCATGCTCCTGAAGGAGCTGAAGAGCATGCGGACCGAGAAAAAAAGGCCTCTTGTCTTGATTAGGAAGTAGTAGCATTGTAGCCACCATAGTCACCGTAGCTTACAAGAACCAGGCCGGGCCCTGGCTGGTTTGGCTCAGTGGATAGAGCGTCGGCCTGCGGACTGAAGGGTACCAGGTTCGATTCCGGCCAAGGGCACATGCCTGGGTTGTGGGCTCGATCCCCAGTAGGGGATGTGCAGGAGGCAGCCAATCAATGATTCTCTCTCATCATTGATGTTTCTATCTCTCTCTCCCTCTCTCTCTGAAATAAATAAAAATAAATAAAAATTAAAAATAAAAAAAAAAAAGAACCAGGCCGGGCACTGCTGTAAGTGCTGCACATGGACCCAATCGTGGAATCATTATAACGACTGTACGAGGTGGGTCTTACTTTATCTCTATTTTACAGAAGAGGAAACTGAGGCGAAGAGGCATTAACCTACTTGCCCAGGGTCACACAGCTCCTAAATGGCGGAGCCAGAGTTTGCCAGTCGGGCGTGGTTTCGGGGGAATGATGAGGCCAGGAGCAAGTTGTTCAGCCTGTTGGCAGTAAAGAGAGGAGGGGCAGGTGGTAGTTCATAGTTCTAGACACGGTTACTTTCCAGATACAGAGCTGAGAGTGACTGACAGAAGTCGGGGAAGCCAGCAGAGATGAAATGGCGATACAGGGTCCTAGCACACCTGAGATCACTAGCGCTGGTTACGTTGTGAGGTTTGAGTGAGGATAGAGAAAACACCTTTTCTTCTTAGATTGCTGCCTGGCTCCCAGCCTGTTCACCACCAAAGGCCATTTTTATTATTCCCCACCTCCCAAGGGCCTCAGGTTTTCAAAGATTTTGAGTATCCACTTTAAGCTTTTATTTTAATTGAAGTATAATTGATATGTAGTGCAACATCCAGGTCTTAACTATACTGTTTAATGAGTCTTGACTACATCGTTAATGTATTAATTCATTTTCCATTTTTATTACTTGAAGATATATAAAATTGCCAGTTAGAATCTAGGATTGTCACATCACATTAATACAATCTAGCCAAAAGCAAGCATACCTGACATTTTAGTTAACCTGTTTAGCCTGTTTGAATTTCCAAAATACAGAAAAGCAGCTCTTAGGTCCTTACCATTACCATCTAAGAGCCTGTTGATTCAAAGACCCCACGTGGGTAAGGAGGCTCAGTGAGTTATTGGGAGAGATGGCAGGAAGAACAGGACCCTGTGGGCCTTAGAACCACTGCCCTTACTGTCAGGATTGCTTCTCAGGAGTTGAGCACGGAGAGGTGTGATTTTATTGGTTCTTCAGAATAAAAAACATACAAACAGTGGTTCATAATAATTTAAAAACTAAGTGAATGTGACTGGATACTTAGTGATATTAAAGAATTCTTGTCATTTTTTTAGTTTTGATAGTGATGTGGCAATATTGTTTGAAAAGATAGTTTTTCCCTTTTAGAAATACGTGCTGAAATATTTACAGAGATAGGATATCTGGAATCTGCTTTAAAATAATTCTATGTGACAGTGGGGGTAAAATTTCAACCAGACTGGCTTGAATTGATAATAGTTGAAGTTGGTACCTGGGAGTTCATTATTCTATTCTGTTCACATTTACATATGTTTAAAAGTTCCCATAATAAAAGAATGTAAAAGGGAAGAAATTATAAAATTATGAATACTAGTCAGGGTTTAGTATAACAGGCATCTTCCTATGTGTGTTAAACAAAAGGATTTAACATAGGGAATTAAGTGCCTGTAAAATTGTTAGAAGAAATGACACAGCAGGTCTAGGCCAGGCCTTTCGGAATAATGACCAGAAAATCACCATTCAACTGACCTGCTAAGGAAACTGCTACCTGTGCCTCCATCAGGAAGCTGGGAAACCAGGAAACCAGGAAGCTGGTTCCTCCTTGTCTCCACTGCATGTTCCAGGAACACATCACTTGAGCCAATCTGATTATCAGGAACCCATAGACACAATTGTTGGCTCCAGTGCTGTCTGCTTCACCTGATAGAATTGGACCAGCCAAACGGATGCCTTGTCCCCAGCACCTTGCCCTCTGATTGGTGGAATCTAAATCAGATCTAGAACCCAAGCTGCAAAGGGACATGGGAAATATAGTTTTCAATTCTCCTCCTCTGTAGAACTGGACTACAACGAAGTGGGAGCAAATATTTGAGAGGAACAATCCACTACAAAGTATATTAGCAATTGAAACTGTATTTCAGCTTATTTATCCCCAAAAGTAATTTTGAACAATGTTTCAGTTACACTACATTCTTTGGTTTGGTTTTCCCTGTAGAATCTTTAAATCAGCTCCCGTAAACCTCCTGTTCCTCAAGAAACATGTACAGTATCTTGCTCTCCTTACTCTAACTGGGCTCATCTGAATGGGCTCACAAGGCTGTTCTGTGCACATTTGGTCTCTGTGTCTTTGCCTATGCTGTTCCCAGTACTGCACAAGAAATGCCTTTCCTATCCCCCAGTCTAAATCCTACCTATTTTTAGATATTGTGCAGGTCTTAACACTGTAAAACCTTACCTGATTTCTCAAGGCCCCATTTACTTTCCTTCCTTTCCTGCCTCCCTCCTTCCTCCCACCCCTCCTTCCTTTGTTCCTTCCTGTATGTACATATGTATGTATGTCTGTCTCTGAAATCCTTCTGGACTTATTCTTTGTTCTGCCATATAGTTTGGTTCTATCATGCAAATGTTTTATGGTATATTATCACTTTATGTGGGATGGTGTTGCTTGTTTAAATAGGCTGTAAGCCATGTAAAGCCAGACAAGTTTGCATATCCTCTCCTTTGCTACCTAACACCATGAAGAGCAGAGAATAAGTTTATGTATTTTACATTGATCGTATTAATAACATGTGCCAATAAGCATACCAACATAATAATGTAGTGAAGGATCAGAAATGTCTGTGCTGAGTAAATTGTAATTTGTTATCTAATATAAATGTCGAGAGAGTAATTATGGTTGTGTTAACATCAAGATCTTCACATGATGACCCCATTCAGCTTTTTAATTAGTTTTATAGTCTGATAATTGCTTTGATCTTTCAGTGACACTATAATTTTTTGTTTCTTGAACTCCACCTGTACCCCATGCCTCCGTGCTATTGATTATCTTCTCCTTCACTGAGAAGTCTCAGCTCACGCCTCAGCTCTGCCTGTCAATCTTCTGTCCACCAAGCAGTGTAACTGACCAGTAGTAACATGTTGGCCATCAATTTATGGTATAGTCAAGCGGCTAAACAATCATTAGAAGTAATTGTGTAGACCTGTGTTTACTGACATAACTCAGTGTAGGAGACCATATCTTGTAAGTGAAAAATATGTTTTTAAACTCTATGGTATGATTTCCGTTTTTAGAAATGTATACATATTTTTTCATGTGTAGACCTGTGTTTACTGACATAACTCAGTATAGGAGACCATATCTTGTTAAGTGAAAAATATGTTTTTAAACTCTATGTTATGATTTCCGTTTTTAGAAATGTATACATATTTTTTCATTTGTATTCATTCTTTTCATTTAACAGTATTTATTGAGTGCCTACTGTGTACCAGGCGCTATCTCTATGTGCATACAAAAACCCTGGAAGGTCATACGCCAATATATATACACTGATCGTCTCTGCTTGCTGAGATAACAGGTGACTTTTTTCTTTTTACTTGTTTCCTTCTTCATTTGCAAACTTGTTTTTTATAATTTTTATACAAAAACCTGTATTATTTATTAATAAGGAACTGGTATGTTTTTTAAAAGCACTTCTTCAAAATGCTTACAATATAAAGCTACATAAAAATAGGTTTAAAGAAGTCTAAAATCCTAATTATAAATAAAATAGAGAGAGGAGGAGGGAACCTAGAGAGGGAGAAAGAGAAGAAAGAAAAGAGGAAAGACATGAAAATTCAGCAGTGGCTATTTTGGGATGGTGGGATTCTTTTACAATGTCTGTTCTAAAGACTCTACAGTGAACCTGTATTAGTTTTAGGATCAGAAAAAATATTTTTTTTCTTTTTCAAGACCCAGTGCAAATGTGACATTTCTGTGATGCTGCCTCAGACCCCTGAATCTGACTTTTCCCAAACTTTCACATCCCTTCCTCACCTGACACTCAATAAATATGAACAGTGAGTGGATTGTGTTTTCTGCATGCGGCCTCAACCTTAGTGACAGGTGTCACTAACTTTGTTAACTTTTCCCATTTTTCAGTCTTCATTTTCAAGAATAATTAGATTTCAGATACGTTATTTCACAACAATAAATATTTATTCTTAAAAAAAAAAGATTAGGGCACACACTATACATGGACAAGGAAAGACCATGTGAGGACATAGTAAGGAGGCAGCTATCTGCAAGCCAAAGAGAGGGGCCTCAGAAGGAGGTGTGGACTTGATCTTGGATTGCTAGCTTCCAGACTACGAGAAAAAAAAAATTCTCTTTAAGCCAAAGGGGGGGAAAAGTATTCTATATGATTAACTTAGTATTGGTGTTTGCCCAATACTGACATATTTTTAGTGGCCAGGATTTTCTGTATTCTTTTTATTCTTTCCTCTTTTTGTCCATTTTTAAATGACTGGTTTTATGTATATATGTGTGTATATATAT